GCCTTTGTTATGAAAACCAAAGAGTTTATGTCTATGTATGGTAAAAGGAGGAGAGATTGCCTTATGACGCAACATTCTATCAAAAAATATATATATATATATATGGTGCCTTCTACGGTGCCCCGGGTGAAATTCGGGGTACCGCATACCTTGAGTATGAAAACACTATCTAGACCTCGAATTAGCATGATTTTTCGGCATGATATTATACCCTAACCCTTAATGAGTGAACCCTAGGTCCTAATTATCTAAATCATAAACTATAAACCCTAAGATGGTGCATTGAATTTTTGCCTATATTTGGACGAATCATAACCGTCGATTATTGTTTCTAATTAAATTGATCTTGGGGTATAAGATTTAGACAATTAAGACCTAGATTTTGATCTTTAAGGGTTAGAGTATAGTATCATGTCCGAAAGATCACTCAATTCAAGTTCTGGATAGCGTTTTCTTACTCAAGGTATGCGGTACCCCGAATTTCACCCGGGGTACCGTAGAACTCCCCATATATATATATGGATTCGATTCGTATGCGTCTGACACATAGTATGTGACAGATTTTGTATCGTTGATCTAATCTAACGGTCATTATAAATTATGTTAAAATCAATAATTATAATTACTACTTGCACCCCTTAAATAATTATACGTGGTATAAAGTCCCCCAACAAAGATTGTCGTTATATTTTCTCATACGATACCCTATTTTGTAAGCTTTTTAATTGAACACCCAAAATTCTATAATTGATAAAAAAAAAAGGTCATTATGACTTACTCTAATTAATGGATCATCATCATCCCACAGTGCAATTCGACCCCATCGTAATCATCTGTTCATCATAACTTCCCCAATAGCTAACCCTTAATTTGACCATCATCATCAAAACCTAAACCCTAGAGGCGATCTAAATTTAATTCGTCAAATTGATGTTTAATTCTTTTGATTATGCAGAGTTGAGCTTTCTCCCCTCGTCCAACCCAAGACTCGAGCTCGTCCTCAGCTGTAGACTGGTCATCAACTCCAGCGCATCTTCCCCTGTTTCAGCTCATCATCTACTTTTAAAATGGCAGCGGACTGCTACCCTTTCGCGAAGAATCGAAATCAGTTGACAGTGACGGCATATGAAAATTACGTGCGTGACTGGAGAGGATTACAGGAAGATGATTCTTCAGTTGATTATTCAGAAGCTTGCAGGAGGAAGGAGATTTTTCGGGGATGTGGGTCCCTACCGAACCTGGGTTTTTTTAATTAAATGAATAGCCTGGGGTTGCCGGAGAAGAGAGATGGTGGCAGAATTACGGTGAGGTCGGCAATTGGGATGGTGACGTCGGGTTGGCGGAGAAGAAAGACAGCGCTGGAGATGCTTGTGGTATTACGGTCGTGATGGCGGCGACTAGGATGGTTACGGGGGTTGCCGGAGTTGAGAATCGAAAAATGCACAGTGAGTTATTCGGGAAGAGGCACCATAAAACGACAATGTTTCATGTTCAATACTGAATCAATAGTGACAGGGAAACGACGGCGTTTCGTAAAGCGGAGCTGATTGCATGAAAATGATCAGGCTGGGGTAGAATAATAAGAAGTTATGTGTACATGGATATCGAACCACTACCTGGCCATAATCAATGCGCGCTTTCACCATCTTGGCTGGATGAGAGTTTTTATAGTTTCTATGCGTACACCTTTATTCATAAAATAACTAGTTTCTTGTCCTAAAATTAAAACCTAAAATTGAAAGTTTTGCCTCGACCATATGCATCTCCATTATGTTTGATTTTCTGAATCGCTAAATGTAACTCTAAGAATTGCTAAACGTCGCCCTAACTTAAAAGTCAAATTACCTATATACCCTTAATGAAAATTTAAAAATTGGACCAGCCAAACAGCCCTTTCACCCCTTCACCCTCCTTCCAGGGAGACTCTTCTTCCCTTCCAGCCTCTGCAGATCCCGCCGCCGGCAACCCCCTCCCCCTTTCACCCCTTCACCCTCTGCATAATCGCCGGCAACCCCCTCCTGCTCCCGTCGCTAGCCTCACCGCCATCCCTCGCGGCCCGCGCCAGCCTCGCTGCCGTCCCTCGCCGCCCACCAGCCTCGCCGGAGAAGAAGGTGAGAGTTGAGACCACAGTCAAACCGCGGTTTGACCAGAGGCTGACCGCGGTTTGACCGCTTTTTTTTAATTCTGTTTTTTAAATGTTAATAACAATAAAATTAATTAAAAAATATACTTAATAAAAATAATTTAGTTATATATTTTCTCTCCTTAAATAGTGTTTGTTTAGTCCAAGTGGTGTTTGTTTGATAAATGGAAGGTGTTTGTTTGATAAAGGAAGGTAAAGAAGATAAGGGGTTATAAGTGTAACTTTAATATTTTTTAAGGCGACCTTTAGCAATTTTAATGGCGACCTTTAGTAACTCCCTTGATTTTTTTCCTTGTTGAATAATTTGATTCTCATAGTTATTTAGTTTTTGGAGCGTGGAGATGCTTTTGTTCATGATCTGTTTTTCAATTATGATATATATATGTTTTCATAGAGAGGAGTTTTTTCTTAATCCTTTTTTGTGTTATCTATGTATATAGCAAGGGTTAGGATACACATGAAATATAATATATGTTTTCATGCACTGGAAGATGATCGTTATCTTTTTACTAGATGAAGGTAACTATTTTGTTTGGAAAATAGCTTTGAGCGTAGGAGTAGTAGAGATATTTATACCTAACTAGGAGTCTAAATAACAATGTTGTCAGAACCGAACCGGAGCATGACCCGGTAATGCGAATGGCTCACACTTTAGTGGTCCAACCGACATTAGACCGTTTAAAAACCGTTAGAGAACCGGTACCTAATAAACGTTATCAATATAAATAGTGGACATTTCTTAATCAGAGCTCATCTCTTTCCTTCGAAATTGTGAAATGGAAATAAGGATTCAATTTGAAAGCCCGACGTTTTTGGTTTTTTTCAATTTTCAATTTTCTACAATTTTTTTAATTAAATTTAGTGGCTGAATGGAAAAACCAGACGAGCGGCTCGATCGGCTCGAATGGCTAACCGCCTCGGCCGCTCGCCAACCGCTACATAAAACCGGAACGGCTTTTAAACATGAATGAAATTGTCAGATCATCTCTTACATGCTTCAACGAAGCTTCCTACATTCACAAGCGACCTATTGTATTTTCCTTGCCAACAACCTTGCTATTGCATTGTAAATGACAGTAAGGTGTGCCAAGAAGTTAAAAAAGCTCAAAAGCTTTGAAAGGACGGTTCTTAAACAGCCTTGAAAACCTAGTGTACGTAATACGTAAGCTCATCCAAACAAAATCTTTACTCCTTCAATTTCCTTACTAGAGTGATCCAAAACTTCTTCATGGAATCCTTATTAGCAAATATTCTAAACAGCAAGCTATTAGACGAGGAGCTTGGTACAAACTCATCTCTCATTGTGGCCTAATTGTAAAAAATCCATGCTTTGTCTGGCGCTTGGTCCAGTTTCCTTAAGATACATAGGACAACCCTTTCATGGGCAATCGATTATCATGAATTGATTTGGCATTTGCAAAATTGATGTTGGATTTTTTTTTTTTTGCATTTGAATTTTTCTTGTTATAAGAATCAAACTGTATCGACGACTAGACTAGTAGCATCATCAAACTTGTTGAAATAGCAGTTTGGTCCATTAGTCTGGACGCTTTGATATGCACCGAATGATTTTTAATGGTTGGATAAGAAACTATATGTACTAAACAATTTTATCAATCTAGTGGTTCACTATTTTAACCAAAGATAACTACAAGAAAAAGTTCAACGTAATATGCCACCGATCTCATATATAAAATATGCCACCAATTCACAATCTCGGCTACATAAGATTTTTTATTTTGTATACGTACACCCTTATTTATAATGATTTGTTCTCGACCATCTGCATCCCCATTATTTTTTAATTTTTCTTATAATTAGTGTTGAATGATTTGATTCTGATAGTTATTTAGTTTGTCAAGCGTGGAAATGTGTTCATAAGGATATGATTTGTTCTCATTCGTGGGTAACGTTACACTTCTTCTTTGTATATATATATATATATACACCAGCTATTATCTCACTATTGGGTAGCCGGTTAGAGAAGTATGTGTGGAAGTGCAAAATAATCTATTTATAGAGATTTAAAGTACAATTAACGTCAATGAAGCATAGCACACTACAAGAAATAAATAATGTTGCAAGTAAATTAGACATATTACAATATGAACAAGTTATGGCCTTTAATTTGGGCAAATCCATTCGAGTAATTTTACACATATTTTATATGTGTAAGTCATTTACATTTCATTAATCATGGATTGGTTCTAGCTGATAAAGGGTTTTTGTAGGATTCATTCATATCCATGTTGAGTATCACAAAGTCGAGATAGACTATGAAGGTACAATCTCGATGAGATATGTTTAATTTAAGTTTTGTATTCGTGTTAGAGTAAGGTCGAGCTTATTTATTGACAAAAATTGATACAAAATACTTACTAAATAAAATAGCACAAGTCACAATTGTTAGAAATGTACCAAGTTGTTGTTAATACGTATATTCTAACAAATGATCATAGTAATGAGTGAATAGATTGCCCATCAAGTTTTTTTTACCAAAATCATGTTGTTTACTGCATTGATGCAAAGTAATCGTTAATACTGAATTGTTAAACAATGTTAAAATATAAAGAATTTTTTATAGTTATAAAATTTATGCCAATAGAGCTTCTTTGAACACTATGGAGTCAAAATTAAATTTAAACAAAATTCAAACTATTAAAAAATTTCCTCCTTTTATCCAAATAAATATAAAATGGAAAGGGTTTTGATTTCCCTCTAGTTTTTCGTTAGAAACCAAACTAATTATTTCAATAAAATTCAAAATATTAAAATTTTCCCTCTCATTTTTTTCAGAAAACATCATTTTATCCGCCAAAATTTTTGACTGGATATTTGAATGGCTCTTTCAATGTAAATGGCTTCTCCCACCACTGTAAGAAGCTGTCCCCTATCCTCTCTCCTTCGCATTTTCTACACCGCTTCCCCTGATAACTCCGACATCCATGGTTTGCTTTCTCATCGTCGCACTGACCCCCCACTCTACGTCCCTATCGGACTCCCCTGCCACCGTCTTCTCTGCTTCTGCCGGTCTGGTTGGCTAGAGAGGGTGTGTTTTTTTCTCCTTGTTTTGGGACCTTTGCTTTGGTTCTGCTGCTCGCAACTTTTTTGTGGTTTGTATGCTTGAGGACCTTCTAATTCTTGTATGGTTCTATATTGGTTGTTGTTGAAGGGCTACTATTGCTTTTTACCTCAATTCCCAGAAACCAGCAGGAAGGAGGAAACGATTTTGAATTAACCTAATTAGGGTTGATCGCAAGATTGAGTGATAATCTAGATGACGGCTCCGCAGTTGATATTGATGAATCCGATGATGAAATAACGGATTTGGTGGGGTTTCATTTCGTGCATGGTAGCTTGTTAACATTCAAATCCTTTTATGTATAACTATTCATCTTGTCCAGATTGAAGCAGAGTACTGAACAGTCCTTTATCTTGTTTTTGCAGGACATTCGTTAGTCAAATAGTTACGGGATATCTTCCCAAAGATGCTCTTCTTCGGACTGCTTAGTATTGTTCCGATGGTTAAACCAATATGGGGAATGAAAAAGGTAGGATAGTATTTGTTTTAATTGGTTGACTAATTCCTCCCCAATAATTTATGTTCCCCTATTGTTGTTGGCATGATAATAAACTGATGATATTACCCTACCTTTTGCCCCCTCAAGTGATTCCCTGTCATATGCTTTCGCTGCAAGTTAGATATGCTAATGAAATCTATAAACTAACAGATATTTAGAACCTAGGATAGTGATGTGTGCAAACCAGTGAAGAACACCTACCAGTAGACTATATTCTGCCTTGTCCCAAGTTCCTAGGTTTTTAGGGTATTGGTTTGGAGTAGAAAATAAGGTTATTTGTCTCAATTGCATGCTAATGTGAGAGTGGCGGATTGGAGAAGATGAGCGTTGAGCAACTGAAGGCGGCGAAGGAGCAAACAGATCTCGAAGTAAATCTGTTGTAGGACAGCCTCAACAACATTCGCACCGCCACGACTCGCTTCGATCACGAGAGTTAGTCGATTTACTGCTTTGTACTGGAATCAAATTATAGTAGTGGAGTTCTGTGTTAATTGCCTCAATAGTCTATTCCGATGAAGGCTAGTCACATTCCGGTTAGTTTGTCTGAGAGGGCTTGGTCAGCTTAGAAGATTCCAAGCCGCTGTCGGATTTCCGCAGTTTAATCTATAGTATATCAACCAAAGGAAATTACAACTGAAATCTAATTAAGGGGCTAGGGGGACTCATTCTCGAGTGACTTTTCCCTTGCTTAAGAACTTCGACAATTTACTACTTTCTGTCTGCTTTAGCTTAAAATCACATTCACTAAACTTAGTCCCGCTAGATAGTAGATAATCACGGAGTAGGCAGTATATCTAGACCCCGGGTTGATAAATTGAACTTGCCACTAGTCTGCATTTCCTGACTGCGATTACACTTGGTCGCAGTTTGGTGTTGTGTCATAGCGTGTCAATTGTCAAATTGCTACGAGGATTTTCTGAGTTATCAATAATACTTTGCCTATTACCCTTTATCCTCTCGTAGGGGCAAGAAATATAGATGGTTAGCATGTTAGTTTGATGTACAGAATTTCCCGAGTTCAGAGTCGTTTGAAATCTCCTTCTAGTGGCTTTGCTCATTTGTTGAGTATGTGGAATGTAAACAAACAATGTGTGCACATTTGCATTTTTCTTTAATGTATGGTGCAATTTTTTTTCCTACAATGGTGGCAGTTGGATGTTCTTTTGTAAGTGATTGGATTATTTCACCTTACTGTAGGTGTTTCTCATATCCTTGAGATTTTGAATAGACTTTTCAAACGAATGACCTTTATATTTCTTCTTATCTGTTGGTGAAAATTCGACTTTCCTTTGACCTACTTGAATAATTGCAAAAGCGTTTGGTTGATTTAACCTGTGTTGATCGAAATTGAGGGTTGATTCCTCTATTGTTGTGCTTTTAACTGCGTTAATACATCACGTGAGGGACATAAAGGATTCAAGACACCCTTACTCATTGGAGGAGCTGAAGGTTATATCAGAAGATGCTATTGAAGTGGATGATAGGCGTAGTTATGTTTGGTGGTATCAGCAATCTTGTTCCATCTGTTCAACTGATGGATTTTTTTTTCAATGCAAGATACTGATTTGTATGTTCTGATTTGCTTCAGGGTGACATTTACTCCGACAGTTGAGCATTGTAGCATGGCGAATGTTAATGGTCTTTGCTTGCGATTTAAGCTTATGAGAAGCCTACCATCTCGTTACAAGGTAGATTATCTTGTGTTCTGATTCTTCTGATGCTACGTACTTTCCTATGTGAATCCTATCACGAACATCACTTATTGGTTTGCATTTTAGGTGGATATAAGGGTTGCACCAGGAACCCATGCAACTAAAGTTGCAGGTACTACTTCCTCTTTATCATCTGTGTATGTCAATTGGAAACTTAGTCTGGATTAACTTGCTGGAGTTGAATTTGAACTTTCGGGTTAACTAAAACAATAAATCAAATTGTACTTGGGTTACGTGCAAATGATGAAAGTTAAGTGATGAAAGCTATCTTCCCCTATATATCTCGAGGTTGAATTTTGTCGTGGTATTCAAGAGAAAAGAAGGAAGATGTGTATAAATTCAAGAATCTAGAACTGTTCTGTAATATACATGGTAGGATTTCCTTACTAATTAAACACAGCTTTAGGTTTCCCTTTTTGACGTTCTGCTTTCTTCTTCATATCATCTTGACCCTATTCCAATTCGACCGTGTTTATTTACCACATTCATTTCCTTAATGTTTTGTAGTGAACAAACAGCTCAATGATAAGGAGAGGATAGCAGCAGCATTGGAGATGGCAAAACTAAACGATCAACTAACCATCTTATGTTCAGTTTTTGTTCTTAACAGCCACAGTTAGAGATGGCCTCAAAGTTGAATGCAGCAGGCTATCCAATAGGAGGAATCTGGAACACCATATGCCTGTTTTTTCTATGTACTTACTAGGCAGTAAAAGGTGCTTGTTCTTGGCCTGTTTTTTCTATGTACTTAGCAGGCTATCCACCAGTACTTATTCCACCCCCTTGTCTTGGTCGTGCTTGTTCTTAGGTTCCCCGTCTCCTCTGGCAATCAACATTAGATATATCAATGTGTAATTAGTAGTGAAAGGTCTTATAGTGAGGACGTAGCAAACTTGCTCGAGATGTCTTATGCGCTTTGTATTATGCTCCTCTGTTTCTTTTCACTTTTGTGAAATAGTTTAACACAAGGCCAAACCATTAGTTCACCATTACCAAAAAAAAAATGTTTCACTTTTGTGCAATAGGATAACCCAAAGCCGACTCAGAAAAATACTTAACTACAAAGCAATAATTGAAAGTGTAAACTGCCATGTTTAAAACTTAATAATAATAATTGTATCAAAATCAAAAATAAAATGGGTATAAACAGATTATCACTATTAATCCTCAACTATAAACTTTAGTAGTTCAACAAAAAACAGAAGAAAAACCCAAATCGTCATCCCTCCAAATTTACTACTTCAAACGTATGCATCTCCATGCATGACAACCATGTCTTTGAGGATCAAGTCATTCCATAAGGCCGAATGTCTATGAGCTCGTCGAATCATTTTCTCCATCTTAGCATTCTGCTGGCCACCAACCAATTCCACAGCCAAATTCATTCGGACAAACATCGCCACATGGTTGTTTAAGGAAAATGAAAAATTAGTGCAACAAGGTAATATATACATACTTCTGCTACCCCATTAGCATCCATGAAACCATAAATCTTTTTTGTGAAATTGAAATTGAAAAAACAATAATGAAACAAAGTTAAACTAAGAATCACAGTGGTGGTCATTAGGATGCACGAAGGCCATCAATGATGATTGGGAAACAAGCCTATGCGCTACTTGTAAAACTAAAGTAACTGGATAAGCCTCAAGCTCATTTCCAGTTGTGCCACCTTAACACACAATCTGCCATTTTCAGTCTTTTGGTTGTCCAGTTCATTTAAGATGTCTTCTATCTGAACATCCGTATGCGTCTAGTCTTTCTCCAAAAACTAGTCCAGTGCAAGAAACAGTAAGCATACTATAAGCACATAATTACCATAGTAAATGATATAAGGAGAGAGCATAATCACCTAAAATTTCACTGCAACATTCATTAACCTGCCTCTCACAATCATATCTTTCACCAACCCTCAATTTCTGCTCCCTTTCTATCTCCACAGTAAGCTGATCTACCATAATCTGAAGCTTCCTACATTTTATCAAAGACAAAATCATATTGCTCGAATTGTCAGTCTAAACACAACTGGTTTATGTTCTCAGTCAGGTGCCTTTAAAGTTTACATCCAATAACATAGATTAGCTTTATCACGGCAATGACCAAATGGCTACTGCCATAGACAAGCTGAAACCATCAAAGATACTGGATCCAGATTTCAATTCTACATCGAACCCACAAAACTTAGGAAGCAACAAACTAAACTCTGACACAGAGTCGTCAAGTACCACATATCAATTCATCCAGAACATAAGCAGTTGATCAGCAAACCTATTAGTATATAGATAATAAGAAAGTGGGGCAAGTCATAACTCGGCAATAGGGAGACAACCATGTGTCAAAGGGATAAACATGACCAAATGTTGCTTGTTCAAATCCAGATATGCAGTTAAGAACATCCAGAGATACATAGGACATCCAATTAATAATATAACATCCAATCATTCCAACGTAAAGCTAGCCAAGAAGATTACAAGTCCAAAATCATAGTTTATGTCGTAGGACTAGTCTTTCTATCTTTGCTTCAACGAAGTAGTTGACACCAAATCATGAAAAATAAGCATAACAACACATTTTTACCTTCTTTCGTTGCTCAGGCTGCATCTCAACACCAACAAAGCATTAATTTTTCACAAAAATTATGTGTCAAGCGAGAGTCTGCCTCCACCCACAAACTACAGTGTCTTACAGAAGTACTGAAAGCTCACTCGAGTGTCAATTTGAACAGTGGAGAAGAAGAAGCCAGACAGCCAAAGGATTAAACTTCACCATTGTAAAAAAAAAGGGATTAAACTTCACCCCAGATCAGCAACAACCCATTCAAATCTGAAATGGATCCAACCAAAACAAAAGCTATAGATTCTTTACAAGCCAAATCTAATCCACCTAGAAAATGCAAGATCGGGGCAATCAATTCCGCACAGAAAAGGAATTGAGCAATCCCAACAAGTTGCCAATCGGGGAACGACCAACTCGTACTGAATATCTGGCACCGAAACAACAGAAGGAACAAGAAAGAAGAGACGAATCACTAAGCAAATAATGAATAGGAATCAAAGCAACGAAACCCAAAATAGAAGAAGGCATGCGAATAGGAATCAGAGCAATGAAACCCAAAATAGATGAAGGGATGGAGTTTCATACCTTTTCAAACTTGCAGACTTTTTCCTTCGGGCTCATCAGTCTCCTAGGCGTTGTTATCGTCGGCAGCGGTAGCACAATCTCATCGATCACAAAAAAGAAAATTCATTCTGAAAATTAATAGAACATCTAGAGGTCAAACCTATGCAACGTGAATGCAGAGCATTGACGACCCCTTCCAATCTCAATAAATTTCAACTGAATACATCAACTGCCACTCCCAATCTCTTACCTCGAACTGCAGACATCATACTCATACAAATATCTGGTTCGTCCTCCTCCACCATCTCAGCTTTGCAAGCGTGGCCGAGCACTCGAGCCTAACAAGCCCAACCATCGCGATGTTGGACTCTATCTCCCCACAGAGATCAGGTACAACAGGACGCCTTTCGGCATCATGGATCCGATGAAAATGTCAGGAGAACGCCATAGTTTTGAATGGAGGGGTTTCGACAATGACCTTTCTTCTCCGTTTCGGCAGTGTGTCTTATTTAATTAATCCCCAAACGGATCAATATACAGAGAGAGGACCGGATGTAGTAGACAACTTTGGGGATTTACGATGGCTAGGGGGATGTGATGATGGGTCAATGGGGAAGGAGGTGATTTCGTCGATCTGGATGAAGTGGAAAAGTAAATGGGGATTTGGAATTTCAAACTACACAAGGGTTGTGAAGAGATAGAAGGAAGATAGAAAATACAATTTGATGAACAAACCATGGGTGTTTAAGTTATGATTCGAAGAAAATTAGGTACAAAATATAGAAGGATATGAAAAAATATGTATAGGTACTAAAAAGCCCGTATGAAAAAGTAATGGAACCAACTAATTATTTTAATATTATAAATTATAAATAATTTAATTAGCATTAATCAATGTTGTTAGATTAGATCAACGGTGCATAGAATCTGTCGCATGCTATGCGTCAGGTGCATACGAGTGTGACCCATATATATATATATATATATATATATATATATTAGGATGCATACACTCATTACAATACATCAAATTTAATTTTTAGAGAAAGTATGAAATAAATTCAAAGTTCAAATATGCATGGTATTTTTTATAATTCGATGTAATGTCACATCGGTATTTTAAACAACCACTTCTAACATGTCGCACGTTTCTTCATGTGGCATTTTGTTTGTTGAGAGGGACTTTAAATTGTGCTAATACAAATGCCCTTTTTGCTTGTGTGAAACAGAATCTAGAGATGACCTATTTTTTCGATGTTCATAATCATACGTTCAACATGTGTTAAGGGTGGTGCTGGCTCCAACTTGGAAAAAGGTTGCGGGAAGCCGTTATACGATTCCAGTTTTGCAAAGTGGGTCGACTTGTGTGGAATATGGCGATTAATGAACTCTAGAGGGAGCGCTGCAGAAGGGTTTATACTTTATAGGATGAAAAATCTGGAAGCTAAGTATTAACTCTATCTCATGGCAAGAATGCTGAGTGTTGATCGAAGACAAGTGGATGTCCTGAATTTGCAGCTTGTTTGAGGAGAAAACCATTCTATATAAAATCTACTTAGAGGATAATTAGCGTATCAACACAATACTAGTAATAATTTGGTGTAGAGTAGAATCAATTATGAGATTCTTTGTGTTTCCCGTTCACATCATAAAATAAATAATCCGTGGATCGAATTTGTAATGTGGCATCTAATTTTTCAAAGGGAAGAAAGATGTATCGAAATTAAGGCTGTCAAATCGGTTTATACCGTTGTCTCAGTTTGGCAAGTGGAATGGTACTACCAGTGGTATAACCAGTTTGTGCCGGTTCATGCTGGTTTAAAAAAATATGAAAATAATTAATATCCAATGTATTTAATCATATATAAAACATATTTGTGGACAATTTAGTTACAATCCAACAAATATCATCAACTTTTAACTATTAAATTCATAAAATGAATAATAAATTAGTTTTTTATTAATTGAATTCATTAAAATGATGTCATTTTGCTTAGAATGCGTAAGTCGATCATACCGGTTTTATGACCGGCACAGGTTGAACCAGGTTCAACCGGGTGTGTTGCGAGTAATGTACCTATCTATACATTAGTTATAGTTGGTGTAGTGTTTTGTATTTTACCTCATAACCCTAGGCGCTAGTTGTTTGGGTACGAGGTATAAATACCTAGCCATGATGTTCGGCGGCCGTGTGTACGAGTGTAACCATAAAGCTCATAGTGAAGTTTTCCTTGAGAGCAGTAAGCTCTCCGTGGAGTAGTCCCGTTCACGTTGAACGGGGAAACCACGTTAAATCCTCGTGTTCGTTTATTTCCGCGTTTGGTTTTCTACATGGTATAAGAGCTGTGAAAAGATCCTTGCTTCCGCGACGTCGTTATGAGCACGGATTCTGCTGTTGTGAGCTTGACTTTTGGCTCCGGGACAAGCTCGGAAGTCCCTAATGGCGGGTATGAGATCGATCCCGCGTCTCCCTATTTTCTCAGTCCCTAAGACAATCCAAACCAATTATATGTTGGTGATCTTCTGACCAAAACCAACTATGCGGATTGGGTTTATGAGATGACCACGTCTCTCCTAGCGAAGAGCAAGCTAGGGTTCGTGGATGGCTCGCTCACGGATCCCACTGATCTGGGGAAGTTGCGAGCCTTCCGTCGTGCTGATGCTATGGTTAAAGGGTGGTTGACCTCCGCCATAGACAAGCAAGTTCGCCGTGGTATGCGGCACGCCAAGACTGCTCGGGAAGTTTGGCTTGACCTGAAGGAACGCTTCGAGCAAGGAAGCCATTCCCGGGTTTACGAAGTTCGTCGCGACATCAGTCGCCTGTCTCAAGAAAAGCTGTCGGTGTCCGAGTTTTACACCCAGCTGCGTGCGCTATGGGAGGAGTTCCAGACCATGGCGCCGCTGCATGCTTGCACTTACGGGTCATGTACGTGTGGGTATTCGAAGAAAAATCAGGAACGAGAAGAACAATTCCGCCTCTATGATTTCCTCATGGGCTTGGACGAGTCTTTCTCGACGGTTAAAATGCAAGTTCTTTCCATGCCGGTTATGCCCAAGCTGTCCGAGGCCTACCAGCTGGTTTCTAATGATTACCGCCAACGTCGCATAGCTGCTGGTAATCGCCCTGCTCCCGAAGGCGCGGCCTTCTTCACTCGTGATGACCCGGGGCGCGGTTCTAGTGGCGCCAGTGAGAAGGGTTCTAGTGGCGCTAGTGAGAAGCCCAAATGTAGTCATTGTGGGAAGCAAGGGCACACAAAAGAACGTTGCTTTGACTTAATTGGCTGGCCGGACAAATCCAATTCCAAGTCCGACAAGGGTGGTCGCAAGAAGAATCCTGATCGTCCTCGTAGTGGGCCTAAAGCAGCTCAGGTGGCGATTCCTGAGAGTCCTATCCCGGGACTTTCCCTTCAGCAATTCGAGAGCCTTAAGTCCTTTCTAAGCATCGATGACGTTGCTGGCAAGATGACATGTAATCTTTCTTCCTCCCCTGCTGAATGGGTCATTGACACGGGTTGTAACCAACATATCACAAAGGATGCTAGCTTGTTGTCGGCTGGCCTTCATGAACCCGGTCTTGCAGTTCGCGTCCCGGATGGGGCTGCCCTTGATGTTCATCGTGTGGGTTCAGTTCAGTTGGGAAATGATTTAATCTTGCCACGTGTGCTACTTGTTCCTGAGTTTAAATGCAACCTACTTTCGGTTAGTCAGCTCACTAAGCACTTCCCGCTTGCGTTGATTTTCTTGGGGGATTTCTGTTTTATCCAGGACTTACACTCCAAGAATCTGATTGGGATGAGTAAGGAACGTGATGGTCTCTACTACTTGCGTATGTTTGACCATGTTCGTCGAGCTATGGTGTGCGCAACGCAAGCGGAAGGGTCATTGGGGTTATGGCATACTCGCCTGGGCCACCCAGCACAAGAGAAGTTGCAGCGGTTGTCTTTTATTTCTAGTCCTCGTCGGTCGGGTTCTGATTTCTGCTCACCCTGTTTACGAGCAAAGCAGTCTCGAACTCCCTTTCCTTTAAGCTCACTTCGTAGTACTATGGCTTTTGAATTGGTTCATGTGGATATTTGGGGAGGCGACAAAGTGGCCTCGTTGAGTGGTGCTCACTATTTTCTGACAATTGTTGATGATTTTACGCGTGGTACTTGGGTTTATTTGATGAAGTTCAAGTCAGAGGTTGGGAAATATCTTGAGCTTTTCTGTCATCAGGTTAAACAATAATTTGGGGCCGTTGTTAAGCGTCTCCAGACTGACAACGGTCTTGAGTTTCAGACCACTAAGCTCTGTGATTACTACGCTCAGGAAGGGATTTTACTCCAGACCTCTTGTGTCAACACACCTCAACAGAATGGGATCGTTGAACGAAAGCACCGCCACATCCTCGAGACGGCTCGCGCCCTTTGGTTCCTTGCCCATTTGCCTCTCAAGTTTTGGGGCGAGTGCGTGTTGACTGCGGGTTATCTCATTAATCTCCTACCCTCTTCTCTTCATCACCACAAGTCGCCATTTGAGAGTTTGTTTGGCCGTCCACCCACCTATTCTCACCTCCGTGTCTTTGGATGTCTAGCTTTCGCCAAAGACACCCCCCATCATTTGGACAAGTTCGCAGAACGCGGTCGTCCATGTATCTTCCTCAGTTATCCGGACGGACAGAAAGGCTACAGCCTTTTTGAGTTGGCAAGTCGTCGTTGTTTCACTAGTCGGGACGTTGTGTTCCAGAAGGAGCATTTCCCCTTCCAGGCCATCTCTCCGGTAATCGCTCCCCGTCACGACAACCCAGCCCCGTCCACCTCTACGGCCGACCCAGCCACAGTCAGCCCTGTCGGTGCAGACTTGATCGATCCCGGTGTTGTAGCGCCGCCACCAGGTCTACCTCCCACCAACGCTGCCGACCCCAGCTCAACCCCTGCCTCTCCGGGACCGTCGTCACCCTGCAGTCCTCGTGCTGGAGAACCCAGCTCAGTTGCGAGTCCACCTCAGGATAGTGGGCCAGGTTCAGTAGCTGCCGATCCAGCCCTTGAAGTCCGACGTGGGGATCGCGTTCGAAGACCGCCACGATACTTGGTGGATAACTACGAGGTCGAGTTGCCCTCATCCCATTTTTGTCCTTCCACTACTCACCCCTTGTCTCAGGTTGTTAGCTCTCACCGTTTGTCATCGTCTTATCGTGCTTATTTGGCAGCTGTTGACCGCCATTTTGTACCCCGCACCTTCCAAGAGGCTGTTCGTTACCCTTGGTGGCGTGAGGCGATGCAGAAGGAAGTCTCTACCCTAGAAGCACATGGGACGTGGGATCTCCGTCACCCACCTCTTGGGAAGCGCATCGTCGATGCCAAGTGGGTCTTTAAGATCAAATATCGACCTGATGGCAGTATCGAGCGTTACAAGGCTCGGCTTGTGGCGAAAGGCTTCACGCAAGTTGAAGGTATTGATTTTCACGATACTTTTGCCCCGGTTGCTAAGCTGGTCACTGTCCGCTGTGTTCTGGCCGTGGCTGCTCAGCGTGGTTGGCACCTTCACCAGCTCGATGTCAACAACGCCTTCCTCCATGGTGACATTGATGAGGAGGTTTACATGCGTGTTCCTCCGGGATTTGCGAGACCGGGGGATACCAGGGTTTGTCGTCTCCACAAATCGCTATATGGGTTGAAGCAAGCTTCACGCAATTGGCACAAGAAGTTCACCACGGCCATTCAGGAAATTGGTTTTCGAGGGTCTCAGGCTGATCACTCCCTGTTCATACACCAGCAGGGCACCAGTTTTACTGTAGCACTCATATACGTGGACGACGTCATCCTGGGTGGGAATGACTTGCAGTTCATTAGTCATGTCAAAGAAATCCTCGATCGTCGATTCTGCATAAAAGATCTGGGTCTGTTGAAGTACTTCCTTGGAATCGAAGTAGCTCGCTCTAAAAGAGGCATTTTTCTTACACAAAGGAAGTATGCCCTAGACATCCTAGAAGATACGGGGAGTTCTGGAATTCGTCCTTGTGAGTTCCCGATAGAGCAGAACAACCACCTTACCCGTATTGAAGGACCGGCAGCTGCTGATCCAAAGTCCTATCACCGGCTGGTTGGGAGGTTGCTTTACCTCACGGTTACCCGTCCCGATCTTACCTACGCTTTTAACATTCTGAGTCAGGCTGTTCATTCACCTCGCCAAGCTCATGTAGATGCCGCCCAGCGCGTCCTGCGTTACCTGAAGAACTCGCCAGGGAAAGGCATTTTCTTCCCAGCTGATGGTGACCTTACCTTAACGGCATACTGTGATGCAGATTGGGCAGGATGCCAACAGACAAGGCGATCAACTATGGGGTATTTTATGACGATAGGGAGCAGTCCTATCTCTTGGAGAACGAAGAAACAGGCGGTGGTCGCTCATTCTTCTGCAGAAGCAGAATATCGAGCAATGGCAAATGCAGTCAGCGAGGTGATTTGGCTAAGGTGGCTGATGCGCGACTTGCAAGTCCCAGTGCGCACTGCTACCCCCTTGTATTGTGACAATCAGGCGGCCTTACACATAGCAGCTAACCCAGTCTTCCACGAGAGAACAAAACATGTGGAGATGGACTGCTATTTTGTCCGTGAACGTGTCACCAGTGCTGAGATAGAGCCTCGAAAGATCCCGACCACTCACCAACTTGCCGATGTTTTCACGAAAGGGCTTGGTGCTGAGCAGTTCGCCCATCTTACTTCCAAGCTTGGCCTTCATGATATTCACGCCTCCACTTGAGGAGGAGTGTTGCGAGTAATGTACCTATCTATACATTTGTTATAGTTGGTGTAGTGTTTTGTATTTTACCTCATAACCCTAGGCGCTAGTTGTTTGGGTACGAGGTATAAATACCTAGCCATGATGTTCGGCGGCCGTGTGTACGAGTGTAACCAGAAAGCTCATAGTGAAGTTTTCCTTGAGAGCAGTAAGCTCTCCGTGGAGTAGTCTCTTTCACGTTGAACGGGGAAACCACGTTAAATCCTCGTGTTCGTTTATTTCCGCGTTTGGTTTTGTATAGGGTGGTATGCCACCGACATGACAACCATGATCGAAATCGAACTAATTTGTTGGTATGCATATAAATATATAGTACCTACCCACCCCCCACGATATTATTTATATAATATATACTGAGTGTCACATGCATGCATAATATATTGAATGCCACAACTTTCTGGTCTCTCATAACGTACATCATATCATATCGCAGCACTTTCTTTCTCCACCTCCACTCTTTCCCCCTTTTCCCGGCCGTAACGGACCGTCGGTCGTGGACCTGATGTCCGGCGTGTGGATATTCGACCGGCGAGGCGTGGCTCGCCTCATCACTCACCCCACCAGAGAGTCGTTCGAGCAGAGGTCGGACCATCAGCCGCGGCAGCCCGGTACGGCCACCGCCCCCGGGGCCAGGCCACGTGTCCTCGTCTACCTCCCGGCCAACCAGGTGATCCGATCGTACGACGAGCTGGAGCAGCGGCTGGGGGAGCTCGGTTGGACCCGCTACCGGCCCAAAGTCGACGGGCTCGTCCAGTTCCACAGGTCCGCCTCCACGGCCCACCTCATCTCCTTGCCCAAGCGCTTCGCCGATCTCAAGCCTTTCCATATGTACGACATCGTCGTCAAAAACCGGTCCTTCTTCCAAGTTCGCCATCCCTGCTAAACTAACTACGGTTTGAATCAATGATCATCACTACTTCACAGTTTTTAAGACTTTGCATGCTCTTGTTTACTAGCTACTGTGTGTCTTTTCTACTCTAAATGCTCGATGGATGTTGTGCGATCGCGGTCACGATGAACAATATGGAAAAGGGGTTATAATGTTCTTACGGTTACGAAGCGAAGGTGTCAATGGCTATATAGCTCTCCGTTTTCTCTGATCTTCAACCCTTTCAGGAGTTTCGAATTTTAATTAATTTAGGGATAATTTTTGGTTTGGTTTGCTACTATATTTTTATTAATTTTGTTTTACATTGTTGGGTTTAATTTGATTATAAAGTTTGTCGACGGATCATGTGACATTCATCTAGACAAGTAGTATTCGTTGTATTTTTCCCGTCAACTCTAGTAATCACTTAACATTAGATGTCACAATTATCATCAAAACGTAACATCTTGTAAAGCGTTAACAACGATTGGTAAAATATTCACGTCTTCCAATAATGCTAACCCTTAATTTATTTCAACAAATTCGATCCGTCCAAAAATCTCATTGTATATATATATGTAGCCCCACCTTCTACAGTACAGATGGTCATCATGGAGAACACATGGAGGAAGTACAACTAAACTGTTGAATGTTTCAGTTGAAACCCTAGCTAACCCCCCTTGGCTTCTTTCCCATCACTCTTTGACTAGAAAATATCTTCTACATAGCCTAGCTAAGAACGAAGAACATACGCACCTTGTTTCAGTTAATTATTAATCTTTGGTAAGACACACACACACATATATATATATTTTTAGTATACTGCTAATTAGGGTTTATGCAGAAGTAAGCAAAGCAAGCATCTCATGATGATCATCAACTAATTAACAGATCAGCTAGCTAGCTAGCTTCACTTTATTGACCGTAGGTAGCTTAGGGTTGCATGCAAAAGCAAAGAAGAGAAAAATGGCGATGCTGAATTGCTGATCCGTCAGCTATACGTTTAGTAGGTGGGGGCTAGCTAGCAAGTAGCCTTTTTGAAGGAGAGATCACGAGCCAGCCGGCTATAGTATATGGGTTACAAGTGAGAACCCGCAGGCGCAGGCGCAGAAGCAGAAGCAAGCAATTAGACGTAGTAGTACTACACTACACAGTGAAAGCGAGCGTCGAATGTTTTGTCAAAACAAGATTGGTGCTGCTGTGCTGTGCTATGGAGGCGGGACGTCCCATTCTCCACAAGGAGTAGTGCAACAGCTTTTTCATTGATATCGATCTCTCTTGTTGACTTCTCTCTTTGAATATAATATATATGGAGACTTTTAGCTAGCTAGCTAGGGTTGCAGCCTACGTATATTAATATATAGCTACCTACAGCTCTACCCCTTGTGCCCCAGTCTTTTTGGTTTGGCTGTTTAATCAGAGCAGCAAGCATAAATGCATCTTTCGTTACAGTACCAGTACACTTTCATGTTATTAAGTGCTTCCGATTGCATTTGGTTACCATTTACCAACTTATTAGCGTTGGGATCAGAACGTACGGACTAAACGAGTCGTGATGTGTTAACGAATAGGAATTGGAAAAAAGATATTGCTTTTGGGTTCGCAAACAGTACTGTAACTAACTAACTAACTAACTAACTATATGGTTTGCTTCTAGATAGATATATGGCGGGTTTCAGCCTGCCTCATTTGTATCTTTGTGCATGTGATTTGGTGATGGGACTAATTCACACAGGCACACAAAGCGGGGACTGGGGGCCAAAAGACTGATCATGAGAGACCACCGGCCCAGCCCAGCCGAGATTATATATATTTAGGTACGTACTTGTAGTTGCACATCAAGGAGGTATAACAAAGATCAGTTACTTCTGCTAAATCCAGAGATCAAAAAGACATGCAACTGCAAGAAGAATCGAAAGAGCACCACATTAATTAATACCAGTACATACGTAGCTACTTTCAACAGGGGTAAATAGAGCAGACCACCCGGCCCTGGTTCTACAAACAGAACACCAACACCATCACCTCGCCAAGTCACCGAGCCTATCACAATGGCATAACCTAATGGAAATCCACCTCCGGAGGACAGGTCTATGAAGGCTAAATTATTCAATAGAAGAACTGGAGTTCGTGCTTCAGGAGTTGCCATTCCTGCGGGAAATGCTAATCTGGATATCACTCCTGACTTTATCAATATGACCACAAATGACTTCATTTTTTCTGGTTTAATTTGAATACAAAGGATCCTCATGATCATCTCAGGAGGTTTTGCAATATGTGTGATACTATGAAAAATCTGGGAGTCTCAAATGATGCTATTTGCCTAATGATGTTCTCTTCGCTTCTACGATGTGTTGCACATTGGTTTCAAAATCTTGCACTCAGATCCATCACCACATGGGCGCAACTAGAGAAGGCTTTCTTAGGTAAATATTTCCCACCTGCGAAAGCTATAAAGCGTCAGAAGGAGATTGTGGAATTTGAGCAAGCTGATGATGAGGGTCTCAATATTGAAGCTTGAGAGCACTACAACAAATTCGGCCTATTAGGACAAATTTTTTATTTTGTCATTTTCTGTTTGTCACAATAGATACGGCGATATGACAAAAATAATATTTCCTATTTGATATGCGTAATGTGATAAAATTACTGTTGTCAGAATAATTCGTCATTTAAAGTGAATAACGTGACAAATATTTCGTGTCACAATTAATTTTGTCAAAATAGGCATTCCATATCGGGATGTAAGAGACTCAACAGTGACAAATTTCTAGTTGTCAGAATATTTCGTCATTTAAAGTGAGTAATGTGACAAATATTTTGTGTCACAATTAAGTTTTCCAAATTATGCATTCCTGAATTGTTTAAATGGCAAAGTATTTTGTCACAATTGATAGCAATAAACTCATGGCGAGCTGACAAAAGGGTATGTTCATCATAATATAGTGGTTTTGACTTTGAAAAAAGGCATGTTCGTCATAATGTAGTAGGTTCATTTTTGACAAAAGTCATTTTCACCATTTTTGCTGGTGTCAGACTCAAACCTCGTGTGAGACTCAAACCAATCGGCCTTGCCGACACATTTTATGTTGAATTGACACAAATCCCATTCCTCACCCAAAATTTGACCATACCCCGCCCAAATTACAACCATGTCCCGCCCAAAAAAATTCCCCAAGCCCGCCCACATTTCCCCCTGCAATTGAAAAATTCAAATCACCCACCCAAATGCCCCTAATACACATTTAATTTATTGATCCCTTTTTCAGTTCTATTAAAAATGAAATTTAAAAAATAAAAAAGGAAAAAATTTTGGGTCACTGAACCCTAATTCCATTTCATGAGGAACCAAAGATGAGCTCTGAAAGCTCCGCCTCAAAACCCATCGCCATGTCGCCGCTCCCCGTCACCGCTCCCCGTCGCTCGTCGATCAAGAACTAGCGATTTGGCAACCTCCAGCCTGCGAACTCAGCGACGAACCAAGCTCTAGCTGTCGAAGAAGTTTCTCCTACCTTGCTGCCTCTCTTGACTCTTCGTTCTCCTGCCTCTGCTTTGGTCGGCGTTCGTCCTCCCGGCTCTTGCTCCTGCTCCTGCGCCGGCCTGCGCCACCTCCACCCACTGCCCTACTACTTCCGTCGATGAGTCCCACCTCCTCTAACAGAGGTAATTTCAAAATTGATTTCTTTTGTTTTGTAGGCCTGCTAATATTTGCTAACAAATTATCCCTTCTTCTTCTGCTTTGTTCTCTCTCACCCATGGCATATTAGTTAGTAGCAGTTCTCTCTCCCATTAATATTGACGTGTTGTGATTATGTGCCTGCAAATGGTTGTTCTTTGTGTCTCATTAAAACTAGCCATCTAGTTTGTTTCTCCTGCTCCGAAGTTAAAATAATCGGATTTGTTCTTGTTATGATGAGCATGTTGTCAGTGGGATTGCTTTGCCATCTAGGTCTAATAAGCTTTACACGGGGAGCCAAGATGAAATTGTCAGGATTTGGGATTGCCAATCCGGCCAGGTTGCTATAGTCTAACTGTATAAATAGTTGGTTCCTCCATTCATTGTTCTGTAATCTTTTATTGTATAAGTTTTCTAATAGTTTACTTGTCGTGATTATCCAATGCATGGGAGTTATCAATCTGGGTGGTGAAGTAGGTTGCATGATCACCGAAGGTCCATGGATTTTTGTCGGTATCCCAAATCTTGTGAAGGTTAGGAAGACATGAAATTTAGTCGATTCCCAGTATGCTTGATCTTTGCTTTTAGTTCATGTCTGCCAGTGAGTTAGTATCTGCATTTTCTGAGTTAGCTCTTTTTGTGACCAATGATGGTCCCTTTTCAAATTGATATCTAAGGGTTTGCATATTTTTTCATGCATGGAACTTGCAGACCAACGCTGACCTAAGTCTTAGTTGGCCTGTTGGACAAGTTTATGCTATGGTTGTAGGTAGTGGCTTGCTATTTGCTGGCACCCAGGTAATATGTCACTGGATTATGGATCTTTCTGTCCTTATCTGTGGCTCAACTGTATAAATTGAAGTTTGGACATATTAGTGATGTTTTTGTTGCATTAGACTTCTGGATGCATCATCCTGCTGCCTGTAGTCATTCTTTTGCACTTGTATAGGATGAACAACTTATAACTGTTAAAATATTTAGTGCAGGATTCATCAATCTTGGCATGGATATATAATGCAGCCACAAGCATCTTTGAGCCAGCTGCATCACCTAAGGGTCATACGTTAGCTGTAGTCTCATTAGTTGTTGGAGCTAACAAACTCTTCTCTAGTTCCATGGACAATTCTTTAAAAGGTGTGTTCACTCTCATGATCTTATCATACTACCTGTTTTAGCTATATTTTAATTGAACAGTCATGTTTGCTACATATATTCAGCTGTATTGTTTGGTTTTACTAAACCCATTATGAATTTTTCTGGCATAGGAAAGAACTTTCTAAACATGAAACTAAGAGCATGGTTTACATTTTGCCTTGAATTTTCCTGGCACAGGATAGCGTTTACCAAAGTGTGAAAACCAGGAGCTTCGAAATCTAATCCAAGAAAATCGGTTCACAAATCGTGTCCTTTCGACCAGAGCTTCATTGTTCTCATGTGAAGTCTAAGCAGCTCGAGCTCATCACCGTATCATCATTGACTTGAGGAGTAAGTCGTGAGATTGTTTAGAAGGTCCTAAAGAAAAAGGTGAAGCATGGACCGAAGGAGAACCCAAGATTCACAAAGGAGTTAGAATGTTTTGTGTCATGGTGAACAACTTAGAATGTTTGGTTATGTTGAACAAGGAGTTAGACTGCTATGGAAATAGTTGTAATGTTTTGGATCTTTGGTAATCTTTCCATTATCAGGATGCAATGCAGGAAACAATTTTGAATTATGAAAATTTTGAAGCAGGTCAAATGTGACAACAATGTCATGTCATCACATTATGTACATTGTCTGACAAATTGTTCTCTTGTCATATTAGACATGGGACAAATAAACCACCTATCTTGACAACCTATACTCATCATAATATGAAGTTATGATAAATATATTCGTCATAATATTTTGTTATGACAAAATAATGTCGTCACGATAAACACTTGTGACAAAATGTAGTCGTCACATTATACAGTTATGACAAAATATAATTGTGTAATATGACGAACAATTCTCCCAAAATCACCAGATTATGAAAACCGTAATAACAAAATATGTCGTCATAACATCTCTGTTTGTCACAATAGAGTACCCAAAACCTCAGCTATACTAAAAGCAAATGTGACAAACTTGTTTTAAATTTTTGTCACATTTGAGTTATCCTGACGGCGATAAAATGAAAAACCTTTGTAACAATAGCTCTTGTCATATTATATCTAATATGACAAAATTTGTATCTAATATGACCAAATTGCCTCGTCGTAATAGGCCGAATTTGTTGTAGTGAGCGCTATAAGGTACTACTACTCAAGTGCCCAAGTCATGGTTTGGAGGAATGGAATGTCATACCATCTTCTTTGACGGTATCAGAAGAGAATTCAGAGAGCCTCTCCAGAATGCTTATGCAAGATGTTTCACTTCTATGGAGTCTCTTGCTGTGGTGCTGCCTATGATCTCATTGAGAGGATGTGTTCAGATGCCAACGAGTGGGGTGCATGGAGAGAAGAATCATTGAAGGAAAGGTGGTATGCATGTAGTTGATAAACTTGTTGGTTTGGAAGCTCAAATTGAAGCAAAATTTGATGCACTAGCAAGGCAAGTGACTAGCTTGTCGCTTGTTTCCGCAGAGAAACCTATTGTTTGTGAGGTACTCACCATCCAGATCAGGGAGGGTGGATAAAGATTTCAGAGCTTTTTTAGAAAGAAGAGGGAGAAGAAAGTCAGAAATGTTTTTCCCAGTCTGTGTCATTCATCGAGAAGAGAGGGAAGAGGGGAAAATCAAAATATAAGGGTGACTTTCGGTTATCATCCGGTTGACCGGGTAACCGTCGGTTACTAATCGAGTATAACTCAATATATCGACAACTAATTTCACTACAAGAAACAGAGCCTTTTGCGACAGAATAGTTCGTCACTAAAAGTCTGGAAATTCGTCGCAGAAACATATAGCGACGAATTAGGGCATCGTCAAATCTGCTTTGCCATCACTACAGAAATACTGGTTTTTAAACACAGGATCGTATTCACGGGAACCTTTCCTGTACTTAGAAGTATACTAACTGTCATAGGAAAATTTCCTGTAATTGATTGTATAGTTCTAATCACGGGAATTAATTCAACAACTTTTTAGTCTTCATTTCCAGTGACTAATTGTTAGTCACGGTTAATTACCATGAACAATGTGACTAGCAATTACTCATGGTTAACTATCGTGAACAATGCACAATTTATCGTCTTACATTTTAAATGAAAATTAAGATGAATTAAAAAGTATAGGACTATTTATTTTGTTAGCCTGATAGAAGCTGCTTTCACATTGACATAATCTCTTACTTAGCATTTCATGATATACTTCGGTAGGAAAGCAGTGTGTATGACTATTTCTATTTTCATTTCACTAAAGAACATCATTTGTAATGACTTTGTTTTGGCTATTAAGGGGATATCATTTGTAATGACTTTTGGCTGTCGACATCATTTCATTTGTAAAGAAAAAAATTATGTGTAATTAATTAGGGAAAATCTCTTTTATATATCGTGACCGAATGTTGGTATCTCCATACATGGGAGAATCAATCAAATATTGTGATCAAATGTTAGTATTTAGACACGGGAGAATTAACCAGATATTAAGATTGATGAACATCCAGTCACGGGAAAAAAATTTCTCACATTAAATACTGTGTTAAAGTCTCAACATCCCGTCTCTAAATGAGTTTTTAGCCCGATTGTGAGGCAAGACTTTATATTAGTCAGGAGGCTTCCCGTGATTAATAACTATAAATTATCATGGGAAATCATACCGTGACTAGTTTACTAGTCATGGTATAAATTTCCCGTTACCTTTATAATTAAACACGGAGGTATATATTACGGTACTTTCCCGAGACTAAAAATATTAAACACGGGAAACACACTTTCAGACACGGAATTTACATTTTATAGTGATTAAATAGTCTTTTTCCTGTAGTGCATCGTCGAGTATACCGCGTCACCATAGCCTTTTGCGACGAAATATATGACGTCGTCGCAAATAGTAATTTTCGTCACAAAATAATTCAAGCATACGGAGAATTCGTCGCATAAGCTATGTTTTCGCGCTGATTATGTTCGTCGCAGGTGGAATAGCGACGAATTAGTCGTCGCGAATATGTGTTATTATACAACGAAAATTAGCGACACATTAGTCGTCGCGAATATGTGTTATTATACGACGAATATTGTCATCGTTGTTTATCAATGCTTTGCGACGAGTTAATTCGTCACCAAAAACATGTACACTCAACTGTAAACTATTTGGGGACGATTATATTCGTCTCCAATACTGACTTCTGCGACGAAAGTGTTCGTCCCAAATTATGCTAGAACGTTTTTTGAATTATTTTCATTGGTCAAACAATTTGCAAGCTGCAATTGACAATTTGGTGGAACGTAAGTAGAAATACAACGAAATCCTTCATTCAATATACAAATCTCATTCAAATAAATGTTGTATACATGAGAAAATCCATTATAAGAACATCACTAATTCGTTGTTCATCATCCATAACATCATACTACACTAAAATCTATAAAGCTAACTTGTCCACATTAAATACAGTCAACATCAACTTGTTGATCAATGTCAAAATACTTAACTTGCAATTGTTAACCTGCAAAAAGAATCAATAAAAAAATGAAGTTGCAAGTTAATATGATAGCTTATTTAACCATGGAATTCTAAAGTACAAATCTAAGATAGTGGTTTACTTACCTAAATTATGAATCAACTAAGCATTTCTCCACGCACGCAACTTCTGCAAATAAATCAGGTTTCTTTCTTGCTCATCCCAGTAAAAAAGCAAAGCAGAGCAAGTAGTTCAGATAAACATCAATTATGAAACTCAGTAAGGAAAAATCAGTATTAAAATGTACTAATCATTAAACAAACTTATTAAATGAACACGTTGAATCAAATGAACTGAATGTATACAAGGTTTGGTAAATAAGTTAACCAACATGTTGTCATTCGATCATAAAAAAAATTATGTTTCTCTCTACTCACTGCCATTTCTCTACTGATAAATTTGACAGAGATGAATAATAATTAAATAATAGGCCTTGTTTAATTTTTGTGTTCCAAATCTAAGGGAAAGAGAACATATTTTAAGAGAAAAGTAAAAAACATCTTTTGAGAGAGAGTTGAGAGAGAAAGTAGTGAGAGTGTTCTGGTGATTAGGGTTTGTGCTGGACGGCCCTTGTCGTCGCACCGGCGCCTGAGCCGGTGCAGATTCCTTTCCCCCTCTTCTTTATTCTTGCAGCGATCAGTGTCTTATGGCTTCATCGTCGAATCTGGCGGTTGAGCTACTTCCGACAAGGCCATGGGTGAGTTTATTTGGGATTTCTGAAGCGAATCGACTCTGTTATATCAAATCCGAAGTTGTGAATGGTGGATTGCGGATGCCAAAGACTGTCAGGGATGAAGGCGCTGCTTGATGGAAACATTGCCTGGTAGGTCAATTCTTGCAGGATATTCCCCCTTTGTTGGTGCTTCAACGATGGGCCAATAAGCTCTAGGGGCGGGACGACCAGGTTAGGGTTTCTCTTCTTTGTGAGAAGCTAATTCTCATTCAGCTACCTTCACAAGCGACTTGCGATTGGATTCTGGAAAATGGGCCATGATTTCACAATGACAATTTGTTATATCTTCGCCCCTGGACTCCGGGAATTAGTGCAGAAGATTTGGGCAGGAAGGCTCTACCGATATGGCTGAAGCTGTCGAACGTTCCTCTTGAATATGTGAGTTTTCAGGGGCTGAGTCGCATTGGAAGTTGGGTGAGTATCCCTTTGGCAGTTGATCATACCACGAGAATGGGTCGGAGGATGGGATTTGCTAAAGTCCTAGTTGAGTTGCAGGCAGAGGGTTCGTTCCCAGAAACAGTGACGGTCTGGCCTGATGATGATCTCCTGATCCATGTGCGAGTGGAATATTGTCATCTTCCCCCAGTATGTCCTGTCTTCAAGTTGTTTGGTACAGAGTGTTGTGGTATTATTCTGGGGCATAAGGTATGGGTGGCTAAGCCAGAGCAGCAGGTGTAGAATGATAAGGGAAAGGAGAGAGTGGAGAAACCCTCTGTCTCTCCTATCCCACTGGTTGATACTGCAGTCTCGGGTCAGAACAAAGAGCTGGAAGTGGGATCCCCTTCAATAGTTAGTTCCCCTTCAAGAATCACCATAGGAGGGATTAATCTTGATGTCTCTTTCTCGGAGGTCTCATCCCCCTTGCCATCAGCAGTTTCATCTCCAAAATTGCCCTCTGAATCTGAATTTCAGAGAGTGGTTCATGGAGCCAAACCTCGAATGTGGTCTCCAGCTCCTAGTCCTACAAGTGTTCTGCACATTTCGCCTTCCTCCTTCGGTGTTCTTGCTGATCAAGGTGAGGAGGCAGTTGTTCGACTACAGGATGCTCCAAAAAGAGGCACCAAGAAGGCGGGGCTTCAGCCCCAGTCCTCACCATGACCTGCTTATTCTGGAATGTTCGAGGATTTAACAAATCCTCGAAGAGACAGGACTTCACACAAGTCCTGAGATGTCTGAATGTTAGTATAGTGGCTATTTTGGAGACCCGTGTGAGGGAAGTAAAGTTTGTGGAAATCTCTGAAAGTTTTTTAGCTGGCTGGGAGCGATATCTGAGTTACTGTGATTCGGATTTAGGGCGTATCTGGTTATTTTGGAAACCGGAGCTTAGAGTTACTATCCTGAAACCAAGTAAGAACTTTCTTCATACTATGATTTAGGAGCAGAGTGGTGACTCCTTCTTTTTAACAGCAGTGTATGGGGCTAATGATGAATTGGAACGCAGAAGTACATATGCTGAAATTGGTCAAATAAAAGTGGTTGGACTCCCTTGGATAGTAGGAGGTGACTTCAATGCAATTATGAAGCCAAGTGAAGCCTCCAATCAGGTGCCTCTAACCTCAAGTATGACAGATTTTGAGGAGTGGAGGAATAATATGGAGTTGGAAAATGTGAATACTTTGGGTCCTTTATTTACATGGGTTAATAATCAACAGCTTACACCTATAGCTAAGAGGTTAGATAGAGTTCTAGTAAATGTTCCATGGTTATCAGCCTTCCCCAATTGTGTCAGTGAAGCAAATTCTGGCACATTTTCTGATCATTGTGGCATTTTAGCACAGATTAAAGTCACTGAGAAGACTCTCCCAAAGCCATTTAAATATTTTGACTTCTGGGAGGATCATCCTGAGTTTTTGAAGATTGTGGAGGAGGTGTGGTCTGTTCATTTTCATGGTAATCCCTGGTTTGTTGTGCAGACTAAGCTCAAAGAGGTCAAGAAAGCTCTGATTAAGTTGAACAAGGAGCATTATGCAATATTAGTTCCCAAGTGAAGGAGTTAGAGAGGCAGTTACTTCTTATTGTGGCAAATTGTTTCTCTGCTCCAAATGCTGAGAATTTGCAAGCGAAAAAAGAGTTAAACTCTCAATTGAAGGAAGCAAAAAAGGCCGAGGAAGGTTTGTATTGGCAGAAGTCCAGAGAAGAAGGGCTTAATAGGGGAGACAAGAGCACCAGATACTTTCATCAATCTGTTAAAATAAGAACAGCTAAGCGGGCGATTAGAAGAATCAAAACAGAGGTAGGAGAAGTGATTGAGGAAGTTGATAAGGTGGCTGATGCGGCTGTAGCTTTTTAACAGGGTCTATTTGGAGTGGTTAATTCTGAAGTAAAGCCAGATTGTCAATACTTGGATGGGATAATTCATAGAAAACTCTCTCAGGAAGGTAAGGAATGCTTTGTCAAACAGT